AAACAAACCTTGCGGTGAGCGTAGTGCAGATAGTCCATTGTGCAGTCATGCGCTTCATTATCAAACAAACGTAAATCAATACATTACAAAAATGCCACCGGCATATTGGCTAAAGTAGTAATATATGAAGTAAAATCATTCACGGAATAATAATTAATTACATGCTACAGCATAATTATAAAAAACTGTTTTATAAGATACACAAATTCGTTTAGTTGTGTATTGTGTCTTATTGATATATCGGAATGAATATCTAACATTACATTCATAAAAAATCAATTTATCGAGTTGCATTCTGTGACATCTTCAATAATAGCAATTCATATTAATATTTTTTTAAATGAAATTTATTAAAACGTATACCCCTACTACTTTTACTATATTATTGGAAATATTCGGATCATTTTCAGTATTTCAATCGTTGAACTAGTAAGCTGAAATCGGTATATATATTTAATAAAGACTACGTTAAGCCTAATTCTTGTTTAGTGATAAACGGGTGTAGTTGTGCGAGGCCTTAAAAATCAACGGTGGTGTCTGATATTGTTAGGCGCCTATTCTTAGCAAATATAGTGCAGTTGTGTGCTTAACGTTTTCTAAAAATAGGATTATCATGAGTACTCAGGTAAATTAATTTACTTTTTTGATTAGAAATGTTGACTATTCTAAGTAGTGACTACTAAATTTAAACTAAAGTTTGAAACTAAAGCTATGCTGTCTCTTTCTGTTTCATAAGATAGTACCAAGTTAGGCTTAATACTACTACTAGTATTTATAATAATAATAACTGCATGGTCGTACAGAATACTGTAACGTATTAAATTTGTTTAGCTTTTATTTTTAACTTTAAGGCTAGTTCGCAGAAAAGACAGGGGAGGGAGTTGAAACATAGAGCTGGTGCACATTTAATTATTAAAAACTTATGGTTGTTGGCTTTCCTGTTAGTGTTATATCTCAATTTTGTCAGGTAATTGAAGTTTGAAACTGAAAGAAGTTAAGTCAATAACTGAATAAGTGTTAAAAACATTAGGAGTAAAAATACACATGAGAAGAAAAGGAAAAAAAATGCTTGTCAGACGGGAAGTAAATTAATTATAGTGCATCACCTACTTGAAGATCTAGGTTTATTTCACAAGGTTGAGTGATATTTAAAATTAAAGAAACGAGTTGTTTTGGGTTTGTCCAATATAATGCCAGTATTACTGGTGGTTGCATTGTTTACACTGTATGTGATGAAAGGTGTATAAGTAATTTAAAATGGTTTTGGTCATGTTTGTTAGCAGAAAAAAAGGAAGCTTTTTATGAACCTGTGGGTTTGTATTACTATTACTAGGAATTTTCACATATAGAGAGGAATGCTTATTTCACCATTTCTTGTAGTATTGATATATCACATTGAATTAAACACACTTATTTTGTTTGCTACAACTGAAGTTTCTTGCTGTATTTCAGTGAAAAGTATCAGTCATAATAAAATATGTTTAATATATTTTGTGCACATAATATGTCCACATTATTATGAAGGACATCTAAATATCTTAATTCTTTATAACAAACACTGGAGTCACTTGTGATTTAATTTTAGGTTCTCCCTAGATAAATAAAATACCTCTTGACTTTGGGAATGTGTTAAAGGTTCTTGAACAGCATTTTGAAACTCTGAGGCAGCTAAATGAAGATAATTTACAATGATCCATTACCTAAAACTAGTTTATTACTAAGCCATGTTTTATTTCATGGCATCACCACATATTACTTTTTCTTATGTATATTTTTAAATTTTCACTGTTGAAAACTATATATTAATGTACAAAAAATTCATTATTGATTCATAAAAAAACTAGCTTAAGAAATGTAACTATAGTGTAACAGCTGCTGCTCTTAGTTAAAACACCAAAACAGTCAATGTTTTTAAGTACACAATTTTGATACAGTGTATAGTCTCAGAATAAAATTTTTTAACTTATGTACAAACAATGACCACTTGAGTGTTTTAATTACCTTCAATTTTTAGACTTGTAAGTAAATTAACTGTGTAGAAGTTAACAGTTGAACAGTTCTAGACATACTATGTATTATAATGATATATGAAGACCAAGGCTTGCTAATATACATGCAGTTTTATGAATTGTTATTAGTTTACATGATAGGGTTGCATGGTGCATTTCAAATGGAGCATAGGAGAAACTAGAGGCTTAAATAGTTAAGAGATTGGTAATAAATGTTCATAGAATGGAATATGTGTTTGAGTAGTGGAATTGTAAGATTGAAATTAAGGACTTAAATATGGATAATAATAAATGTAATATTTTGAAGTCCATATCTATGTGGTTGTTTGTGTTGTAAAAAATAGTGCCTTACTAACAATAACTAGTGGTTTAACTATCGTAGCTTAGTTGGTAGAGCACATGCTTGGCATACACAAAGCCTCCAATTCAATCCCACTTAATGATGCAAAATAAGATTATTACATTTGTACTGCATGTATTTATTATAACTACTGGTGTGCTATAGTTTTAAATATATGGAATAGTTAGTCTGATAATGTGGTCTGTGCTGCTAGTTCATTAAATATACCATAGCTATAGATATTACGGATTAAATATGTTACAAGATAACATGACCTTCAGGCAACATTTAATTTTGGTCCTTCAAGTCTGTGTTTGCACACCTACTTTTAAGAAAAGTAATATCTTGAATCCACCATTTATTTTTCACAAAATTAACAATCCTTTTAAACTTTTGAAAAATGCCAGCTTCCACTACTACTGACAGCAACTTATTCCATAAATCAATCACCCGATTAGTATAATTAAACTTTCTTTTTCTGGAGCCTTTCCTGTGTTTTCAAATCTTAAACTAGTATCCTTTCATCCTGTTATCTTCAGAATATAGCACAAAAAAATCAGAGGCCTTTATCCTGTGAATTCCCTTCCCCTCAACTAGTTTTGTAAATTTCAATCAGATCACTTCTACCCTTCTGTTCTGAAGATTAAATAAGTTTAAGAGATCTTTAGAAAATAACTGTTCCATCCTAGGAAGCATCCTAGTAACCTTTCTCTGAACTCTATAGTAAGTTAGTATCCTTTCTTAGATAAGGAGCTTAAAACTGTACAATATTCAAATGGAGGTCTAATTTATTTGTGATTTATATAGAGATATAATAACCTCTTTTTCACTTTTTTATCTTTAAATACACCTTAAAATTCCATTAGCTGTGCTACTAGCAACAGAGCACTGCCTAGATGTCTTCAGTGACTTATCTCTATAATTAGATCCTTTTCTTCAGACACTTACAGAGTGGGTTCCTATCAAAATTAAATGTGTGATCCAAATTATGATAACCCAAATGCATTATCTTGCACTGAGTATAATTAAAGGTCATTTGCCAGATATTGGTCTTAACTCAACATTTCACAAACTGGGGTCCACTGACATGGAGTGTTTTTTTTTCAAAACAAAACAAAAACATCAGTAAGTTTGGGGATCCATGAAAAAATGTTAAATTAAAAAGGATTCTCTCAGGCTACTAAAACTTGAGAACTGCTGGTCTAATGCAAATGCATTACCTTCCACTTAGTACAATTAAAGGTAATTTGCCAGATATATGTCCAAGTTATTCTGTTGTATCTTAATGTCCTTTGTACACTTAAAAATGCCCATGAGTTTAATGTCATCACCAAACTTTCCTGATTTACTAATTATGCCCCCATCAATATCGTTAATATAAATACAAAAACATAAAGACCCACAAATTTGTCCCATAGGCACTCCAACAGTAACAAAGATCAAGTTTTGCAGAACTCCAATAATAACGTTTTACCTTCTCTTATGTAATCACTCTACATTACAATTTATCATTGTTTTCCCTTACTCCCATTGATGTAATCTTCTTACCCAATCTTTTGTGTGGCTCCTTATCAGGAGCTTTCTGAATAACAAGTAATTTCCTCTAAAGAAAAGACCACATTCTTTTCTGAAATGACTTACAAAAATGGAACTTGATCCTTAATGGAATAGCAGTTTTTCAAAAGTTTTTTCTTAAAAAAAATCAATTTTTAATTATTTCAGTGTACTTTGGACATAGCAGAAGGGCTTACCCTAGTTCTTGTGTTTTTGTCAGATGTGTGAAAATTCCTTAGTTTCTCAACTATTCAGGGAATGTACAAAATTTCTATTCATCAAATATGAAGACGATCAGCATAAATGTGTGTATGATATTCAAAGTTGTAGTACTAGCATAAGCAAGCTTTCAAAATAATAGATTGTGTGGATTTGTCTAAGCAATTGTGAAATGTTATGCAAAAAATTTGATAACTAGATATACACATGTATGTATACTACTAAAATAATTTTACACTGCAGTACACTGTAATTGGATCTCTTCTAGACAAACAGAAACTTGCTTGTCCATAGTCTTCTTGCCATATTCTTTTAGTAAAACATGATAACAATGCAGCATAGTAGCCTAGGACAGTGCTTCTCACCCGGGATTCTGCAGAATGCAAGAGTTCCACATATTCTAATGTGTAAATACATACTAGTCACATAATTGCAATCCATCTACATCATATTTCTTTATTAGTATAGCAGGTTTCATAATGACACAGCATAACAAATCACTGCACTGTTTTAAATTAGTGAGCAAGAATAGGTACATACAGGTGCTTGTATTGCGGTAATGTTTTTAGTGATGAATGCTTTGAAGGGTTTCTGACACAAATTTGATGTCAAAAGAGTTTCGTAATTTAAAAATGTTGAGAACCACTGGATAGGAAGAGTAAGCTGGGTTCTCAGACTTTGTTCAACATCCTTAAGGAGAATGTTTGATTTGATTTTTTGGAAGAGATGACCCCCCCCCCAAAAAAAAAGTAGCAGTTCTAATCTGTGAGTCTATAAATGATATAGTTCTCAGAAAAGCAACGAAGATCACAACAGATTTTTTATTATGTCATGTAAGAGTAGTTTCATTCAACAATATCCAATCAGAAGGTGTGTGACACATTATTCTCTGTCTCAGCACATACACATCCACAAAGCTTTGCAGTTCATAAACTTTATTAAACCTTGGAAGTACGCATGTATTTATTTAGACTTATTGCAAGAAGCAACTGCCAGCTATCCACTAAACTGAAAAAATCAAAGCCAACCCTTATAATTTATCAAACCTTTCTGTATACTCCCTTAAATTTACTGCATCTACCACATCTGAAGGCAACTCATTCCACAGGCCAACCACCAGGTGAAAAAAATAAAACTATTAGCTGTGTCTCCTAGTCCTACCATTCTCACCATCAACATTTCCCTTAAGAATCTTAAACACATCAATCAGATCCCCTTCCAATCTTTTTTTTGTAATAAAATAGTTTCAGATTTCTTAATCTGTTGTCTTATGACAATTATTCTATCCCAGATATCATTCTAGTAACCCTCCTCTGAACCCTTTCCAACAATTCAATGTCCTTCTTCAGGTAAGGAGCCCAAGACTGAACAAAATGCTCCAAATGAGGCCTAACCAGTGATTGACACAATGAAATTATAACCTTTAAACTTATATTCAATATTTCTGTAGATACAAGCTAAAATCCTTTGTCCTACTATTAGCAACAGCACACTGCTTGGATG